TCGAATCTATTACACTTCGGAAAGGTATGAATCTTCTTCTCCCTGCAGCTATGGGTAAATAGCAGGACAGACTGGGTTCTATAGCCTTGAATGGCAACTGGTCTACCGCAGAAAGAAATGGCAACCTAATGCGGGAACAAAAACGTGCCTCGTCAGTCATGTATCTAAAGATACATGATCGCCTACGCGTGTATCACGCACGGCACAAAACTGACTGACCTACAAATCACTCGATGATTGTTATGTTCCATGTTTTTAAAAATTATAAGCTATATAAGGTCTTTTTTTTAATACGCAAGTACTTTCGACTGTACATTCAGTCATCTTCAGCCATGGAAATTATTTTGTTTTTGATAAAATTCAGGTAGCATTCGAGACGAAAAACTTAAATGCGAATCGAATTTTTTTTTTTAATGTGTTATTTTTAGCGGATACAAACTTTTGGAGCGTGCAGTCGCAAAGCTAAGGTTGAATTTTTTTGCAAAATTTAAGGGAGTGCATTTTTTTTACTAATATGGTAATTTGAGAATTATTTTTGTAGGAGTTTATCAGTCAATGTGGCATGAACTAAATTGTGCAATAAATAGAGCAATTTCTACTGCGTATATTGGCGCACTACTAATACATACATGCATATATATATGTGTGTGTGTGTGTGCTCGCGGTGTGTATGTGCGTATTTGGTTGAATAATCAAGACATATCAATTTATTTTAATTTATTGGTAAATGCGCATTTACAACTAACAATTACGCTAATTTTTTGGTGTTAGCAAATCACCCGTGAAGATGAACTTAAAAGTACTTGCGAAAATCAAAGAAATTACCAAAAAACTACGGTGTCTTTCTTACTCAGTTTTGTAACAGCACTAAGAAAGTGATCTGTGAATTTGGGAGGATTAAAAAAAAAATAAATTAGCATAATATGTCTACATTATTCAAACATGCTTGAATGAAAATATACTGTCTAAATATCTATATCTATACCCCCCCACACATATATATATATATATATATATATATATATATATATAATGTATGCGCGCGCGTGTGTGTGTGTGTTAACAGCATATGCACCATGACACTTGTATGCATATATGTAGCGTAAGTGACTTGTGTACATATGTGGATAGTGGCATTTAATCTTATTATTCTGCTAATAAAATTTTCTCTTCTATTAGGGCGACCGGCGATTTGCGGCTCCGTCAAGGGCAAGAAGCAAATATACAAAACTTTCCGAAATCCTCCGGGAACAGTAAAACGATGAGGCATTAAAGTTATGTCATTTTTTATTTACTTTCATATCTACCTCAAAACATGTGATTATACTGACACAAATACTGACAAAAATATACACACATTTTGCTGAAAATATACACTCCACTATTTACATATATATATATATATATATATATATATATATATATATATATACCATAGTTCAAAAGGTTGAGGCGACCCCAGGTAATTTTTAAATTGGTCTAAAATGTACTTGTTTTGTAATTTAAGTCATAGTAAATTATTATTTTTATACATAGTTAAGCAAAAAGTGAGAGATAATTTTTATTAGAAATTTTATTATGACAAAAAGAAAAAAAAAATTTTATGATTAAATTTTGCTCTCGTCAAAATGTCCTCCATTAGACATGATTACTGCAGCACAAATTTTTGGAATTCGTTGCAAAATTTTGCCAAAGTATAAATTTGATAATTGATTAGATTCTTTTTACAATGATTCTAAGAGGTTTTTCATTTTTTTTCCACTCTTCAGTCAAGTTCATTACATACTAATGCTGGAGTTAGCTTCAAACTTTGGAACTGCAGTACACACACGCACACACACACACACACACACACACACATATATATATATATATATATATGTGTGTGTGAGTGTGTGTGTGTAAAATTCCAAGATGAATTTGAGTTTGTTCCTATCTATCTATCATATATCCAACTGTGTTTATATGTCGTTCTACAGAAAGATGGTGAGGATTCCATCAACCGAACCTATGGCCAACGACGAGAGAGAATGGAAACAAAAAGGAAACTTTTACTTAATATCAGGAGGTAGCAGTTGGAATTTTTATGGCACCTAATGAGGAAGGAAGGCTTGGAAACCTGATCCTCACAAGACAGATTGAGGGGAAAGAGGGTCAAAGGAAAGTAACACATAACTTAATTCATGAGCTGATGTAGATGGATGACAGAATAGGGTTTGAGAGAAAAAGCAGAAATAAAAACTTATTAACAGCTTCAAGGGGCAGGAAGATGTGGAGGTCCATGATCGACTACGTCATAAATTAACACGGCAATTAAAAGTAGAATATGTATGTAGACAAAAACTTACCATGTCAGTCTGTTCATATCTATGTATGTATGTATGCATTTATCTATCTATCTATCTATCTATCTATCTATCTATCTATATAGATAGATAGATAGATAGATAGATCTGATATATATATATATATATATATATATATATATATATATATATATATATATATATATATATCTGTATGTGTGTGTTTGTGTCTATAACTGTCTTTTAAATACATATATTTAAATGAGTTTATACATCTATGCAATAACTGATTTTATATATCTATTCTCTATATATATATATATATATATATATATATATATATATTTATCTCCTCTCCCTTCTATCCTCTTTTTAATCACTCTCACTCGTCCTCTTTCTTTCTCCCTCTCTGTCTCTCAGTCTCTTTCTCTTTCTCTCAGTATATATATATATATATATATATATATATATATATATATATATATATAAAAAAAATTGCACACGTTTATCGTTTTTATATTTTCCTACACTCTATCCTCGATATGGATCTATCAGCTAAAAATGTAGCATAACTTAAAATTACATTTTTTCATATATATATATATATATATATATATAATGTATGCGCGCGCGTGTGTGTGTGTTAACAGCATATGCACCATGACACTTGTATGCATATATGTAGCGTAAGTGACTTGTGTACATATGTGGATAGTGGTATTTAATCTTATTATTCTGCTAATAAAATTTTCTCTTCTATCAGGGCGACCGGCGATTTGCGGCTCCGTCAAGGGCAAGAAGCAAATATACAAAACTTTCCGAAATCCTCCGGGAACAGTAAAACGATGAGGCATTAAAGTTATGTCATTTTTTATTTACTTTCATATCTACCTCAAAACATGTGATTATACTGACACAAATACTGTCAAAAATATACACACATTTTGCAGAAAATATACACTCCACTATTTACATATATATATATATATATATATATATATATATATATATATATATATATATATATATACCATAGTTCAAAAGGTTGAGGCGACCCCAGGTAATTTTTAAATTGGCCTAAAATGTACTTGTTTTGTAATTTAAGTCATAAGAAATTATTATTTTTATACATAGTTAAGCAAACAGTGTGAGGAAATTTTTTATTAGAAATTTATTATGACAAAAAGAAAAAAAATGAATTTTATGATTAAATTTTGCTCTCGTCAAAATGTCCTCCATTAGACATGATTACTGCAGCACAAATTTTTGGAATTCGTTGCAAAATTTTGCCAAAGTATAAATTTGATAATTGATTAGATTCTTTTTACAATGATTCTAAGAGGTTTTTCATTTTTTTTTCACTCTTCAGTCAAGTTCATTACATACTAATTTTGGAGTTAGCTTCAAACTTTTGAACTGCAATAAACCTATATATATATATATATATATATATATATGTATGTATGTGTGTGTGTGCGTGTGTTTGTGTGTGTGTGTGTGTGTGTAAAATTCCAAGATGAATTTGAGTTTGTTCCTATCTATCTATCATATATCCAACTGTGTTTATATGTCGTTCTGCAGAAAGATGGTGAGGATTCCATCAACCGAACCTATGAGCAACGACGAGAGAGAATGGAAACAAAAAGGAAACTTTTACTTAATATCAGGAAGTAGCAGTTGGAATTTTTATGGCACCTAATGAGGAAGGAAGGCTTGGAAAACCTGATCCTCACAAGACAGATTGAGGAGAAAGAGGGTCAAAGGAAAGTAACACATAACTTAATTCATGAGCTGATGTAGATGGATGACAGAATAGGGTTTGAGAGAAAAAGCAGAAATAAAAAAACTTATTAACAGCTTCAAGGGGCAGGAAGATGTGGAGGTCCATGATCGACTACGTCATAAATTCACACGGCAATTAAAAGTAGAATATCTATGTCAGTCTGTTCATATCTTTGTATGTATGTATCTAAATAGATTGTGACCGTATCTATCTATCTATCTATCTATCTATCAGTCTTTTCAAGTCTATCTCTTTATCTATCAGTCTGTTCCTTTTCTATCTATGTATCTATCTATCTCACTCTGTACACATCTATCTATCTATCTATCTATCTATCTATCTATCTCACTTTGTACATATCTATCTATCTATCTATCTATCTATCTATCTATCTATCTATCTATCTATCTATCTCACTCTGTACACATCTATCTATCTATCTATCTATCTATCAAAGTAATAATCATAATCATAATTTTGGGCTCCCAGATTTGTGTACCTCGACCTGCTATGATTGTCGATGTAGTTGCATACCGGCCACCGGCATCATTGGTCTCTCTCTCTCTCTCTCTCTCCCCTCTCTCTCTCTCTCCCCTCTCTCTCTGTCTCTCTCTCCCTCTCTGTCTCTCTGTCTCTCCCCACTCTCTCTCCCCACTCTCTCTCTCTCCCCGATCCAGATCGACGGCCAGTATGAAGAATTCTCTTTTTCGGGGCGGATTGGCGAAAGCGGCTTCTTCCTAAATATAAGATTAAGTCACCATCTTTTTCGTTTTCAATATCCGAACCATTTAGCCTTTTTGCCAGTCTATCTGTCGATTTCAAGATTTATAAATGTAATGTATACTTTAATATTCACAACTACAACTAGACTGACGGCTAAAAACAACAATGCAGAGAGAAATGAAGGATAAAATGAAAGATACCCGTACTTGAGCCTCGAACTTTACTTTTTTTATATTCGAAAATTGCCAGAAATTTTGCCAAATGAAGATCGATATGTACGACTATGTTCCTAGCTGTATTTATTTGGTGTCCTCGCAAATACATACATGCATACATACATACATACATACATACATACATAACATATATATATATATATATATATATATATATATATATATATATATATATATATATATATATATATATATATATATATATATATATATATATATATATATATATAGTTGAAATTACAGATGCTGTTTTGCACAGTAGTAGTTGCATGAAACTATATATATATATATATATATATATTTGTGCATGCATTTATGCAGTGGGATAGATAGATAGATAGATAGATAGATAGATAGATAGATAGATAGATAGATAGATAGATAGATAGATAATGAACAGACTGAGAAGGATAGATAGATAGATAGATAGATAGATATAGATAGATAGATAGATAGATACTGAACATATATATATATATATAGAGAGATAGATAGAGATAGATAGATAATGATAGATAATGAACAGACTGAGAAGGATAGATAGATAGATAGATAGATAGATAGATAGATAGATAGATAGATAGATAGATAGATACTGAACATATATATATATAGAGAGAGAGATAGATAGATAGATAGATAGATAGATAGATAGATAGATAGATGGCCGGGCACATATATGAAAGTAATAAAAAAAATATCTAAAATACGTATTTTTAAGTCATTTTTCTCTACATCTTATTTTCTTTTAATTTGGAAACATTATTTTAAGCCAGCCAAATTCTGAATATAAATCTACTCATTTCTATTATTCCGACATTGGATGCACTGAGCTTATAATAAAACCCTGTCAAATTGGCCAATATTTAGTGAAGTATCTTATAAAAGATGAGAATTCTTGCTCGAATCCAAATATAAAGGCATAATTTCATGATAGGTTCATGATTTGTTTACCAACTGCCTCTACGTTATTAACTTATTTACATATCTCATTTGCATTTGTTTCGTAAATTTGCATTGACCAAATTAGAATATTTTAAATAAGACTGAGTTAAAATCAACTGATGTCGTAACGCAAACAGTGATATTAATTTTAATTTAGTAATCATCATTTTGCTAAAATATCACTTCTTTATGTTGTAAATGAATTCGATTAAATTTAGGAAGTTCCATATTGCTTGCCACAATCGCAGCAGACGTACAAATGCGCATATTTCGTTGAGGCTACAAGTGTTTCAGTGAGGAGGGCTGAAAAGCGAAGAAAGAAAACTGAACATTGTCGGATATTCAGGAATTGTCTTGAACGCATATAAAATAAATTCGTTTTCTGTTGGACGAGCTGCCCTTCAAATAAATGAAATATACTTTTCGTGATTTAAGACCCCTATAGAAATATTTCACGAACAAAATGCGTTTAATATTTTTCACCAATCTTTTAAATGTGTTCCTACTCGGTTTTATCTTAAATTATAACTCCATAGCCAAACACCTTCAGAACAGATTAAAAAAAAAAATGGCGCCCTTTCTATTCTGGCGCCTCTTTTCTCTTTTTTTGTTCCTTTTATTTTTATTTATTTTTTTTTTTTGAATGATTATTTCGTTTAATGGTTAATTCAGTCCTGTTTAAAAATGTGGATTCCAATAAGCAAACAAAAAGCTTGGCCCAGGAATGAAGAGAAGGGAAAATAAAGAAAAGAATTAGAATCATTTACGGTCTTATTTTATAGAACAAAAGGTTGCGTTCAATAAAATGATTTATTTTTATGATGCATAAGATTTTCTAGCGTTTTGAGGATTCAGTTAAGAAAAATCTTCAGAATAATAACAAAATTTAAGCAAATTAAAGATCATATCTATCTATCTATCTATCTATCTATCTATCTATCTATCTATCTATCTATCAGTCTGGTCATATCTATCTATCTATCTATCTATCTATCTATCTATTTATCTATCTATCTATCTATCTATCTTCGTCCTATTCATATCTATCTATCTATCTATCTATCTATCTATCTATCTATCTATCTCAGTTTGTTCATTATCTATCTATCTATCTATCTATCTATCTATCTATCTATCTATCTAAAGTTGTTCATTATCTATCTATCTATCTATCTATCTATCTATCTATCTATCTATCTATCTTCGTCCTATTCATATCTATCTATCTATCTATCTATCTATCTATCTATCTATCTATCTATCTATCTAAGTATGTTCATTATCTATCTATCTATCTATCTATCTATCTATCAGTCTGGTCATATCTATATCTATCTATCTATCTATCTATCTATCTATCTATCTATCTATCAGTCTGCTCATATCTATCTATCTATCTATCTATCTATCTATCTATCTATCTATCTTCGTCCTATTCATATCTATCTATCTATCTATCTATCTATCTATCTATCTATCTATCTATCTATCTATCTATCTATTTCCTCATCATAAAAGTGTTATTTAACCATCAGAACAGGTTTTGAACGTCTGCATAAAAGCTTCTATGCGAAAAGCTGGGAAGTCAGGTTGGTTTTTCTTGTTTCACTTCTTTCTAAACATTTTTTTTTAATTCTCCTCCGGCCGAAATGAACAATTTTCAATTTCAACCCTGTTCTTGTTTAGTTCAATATACTAAATGTTAAAAAAAAAAAAAAAGTTGAATGAATCACGAATTTTAAAAAAATGTGAATTTTGGGCAATGAAGAAAATAAGAAACATGGATTTTAAAAACTGATATAAACAGAAATTAAACACTCTCGATTTTTTGATGTTATAAAATGCATTCACACACATACACACAGACACACACACACAGATGCACACACACATATATATGCACATAATCGCTCTATAAAACGCATTATATATGTTACACACGCGCGCAAACACACACACACACATATATATATATATATATATATATATATATATATATATATATGTATATATATATATATATATATATATATATATATATATATATATATATTGTACACTGTTACATTAGGACATGTAAGTAATAGCTACAAAATTGTACATTTTGTTTCGATGTTTAAATAAAACGTACCTTTTAGGTAAGTAAACCACATTGAAGTGACGTTTTATTTAAACGTCGAAACAAAACGAACAATTTTGTTGTAATTACTTACATGTTCTAATCTAACAATGTATAATAAATCTTTATTGCTCTACTTTTGTATTAAGCCCTGTTTTAAATTAATGTTTTGAACGTTTGAATTTTATTCTTCGTTCGTTTACATTTGGGTTGTGCATGTATATATATATATATGAATAAAGAGAAAAGGAAAACTTATCTTATTCGAGGCGTTTCGTCTTCTGATGGACTTATTATTATCTTTATGTAAGGATTTTTATTTTGCAATAAGTATTTCTAAACAGAAGTAAAACTGTCCTTGGTTTTTAGAGTTTTTAATTTAAGATTGGTCCTAAAAATCCTTCAGGCTAACTGAAAGTCAAGGTAAATTACGGAGGATGCTAAGTGATATAATTTAATGTTTAATAAATGAAAATTAGTAAATGCTGTTATTGCTATTGCTTTATATATATATATATATATATATATATATATATATATATATATATCACATGACTTAAATTAATATTAACATAAAAGTGTATTATATATTCTTTTACTCATTAAATACAAACATACGCGCACACACAACCCCCCATATCTATATATATACATGTATGTGTGTGTGTGTGTGTGCGAATATTTCCATGTGGGTTGATATCGAAAGAAGCAACAACGCAGAGTCAGGCGTGCATGCCTATGCATCAATATTTAATCATGCACCAGAATCCCTACATTAGCATACCTTTTCATTGTATGTTTTAAATGATAGAGAATAGGACATTTAATAAATTTTAAATAGGCGTCTTTTTCACAAAATAAACCGTATACGACACAAATACAGGCAATACTTTCTATTTTAAAATGCTTACATTTTCATGATTATATAGATAAAGAGAAATATCATACCACGTGCATATATATATATATATATATATATATATATATATATATATATATATTAAAGACATTTTATGTTTAACATTCTTTTTATAGATACAAGTATTTAAGTAAATGCTCTGTTTACAATAAACAGTATTAAATAACATTTACCGGCCTGAATGTCTTTGTCCATTTCTTAATGTATATATATATATATATATATATATATATATATATATTTACACACACATATATATATATATATATATATATATATATATATATATATATATATACAAACACAAACGTCCACTTTTATATTTATATACATTCTGTCCCTGCTATTGTGAATTTTAACCCATAAATATTGCTTACCTTAAAACTACAAACTACATTTCATTATATATATATATATATATATATATATATATATATATATATATAGAGAGAGAGAGAGAGAGAGAGAGAGAGAGAGAGAGAGAGAGAGAGTTTGGTCGTCTAGATGTGTGCAAAACATGGAGATAGCAAAATTAAAAAAAGACTTGAAGTTGTAGAAATGTGGTTTTGCAGAACGATTCCAAAAATACCATGAACCGAACATGTGACCAACGACAACGTTTTAGAGAAAATGGAAACAGAAATGAAACTTATACTTAACATCAGGAAGAGGCAGTCGAAATTTCTAATAATGAGGAAAGAGGGCTTAGAAAATCTGATACTCACAAGACAGTTTGAGAGCAAGGGGGCAGAGGGAAACAGCGAATAACCTACAAAGCAGGGAATGCCATTGATAGTAAAAAGGCAAATATTGTTAAGAGCTACAAAAAAATAGAGGAAAACAACACATAACCTACTTCAAGATGGCGGAATAAGGTTTAGGAGAAATAATACATAGAAAAAAAATCATTAAGCGCCACGTACCATATATATATATATGTGTGTGTGTGTGTATGTATGTATGTATGTG